CACACATGGCATCACACACACAGCATCACACACATACAGGACCACACACACGGCGTCACACACATTCACACATGGCATCACACACTCACACAGCATCACACACAATCACTAACATGGCATCACACACACACGGCACCACACACACTCATACTCAGTATTGCACACACCTTCACACACACTCAGCATCACACGCTCACAGTCACAGCATTACTCAGACTCATGGCACCACACATTAACACACTCACAGCATCACACACACACTCATGGCACCACAGGCTCTCACTCCCACTCATGGCACCACATACCCTCACACAGCATCACACACAGCACCACACACTCACAAATTCAGCATCACACACTCACACTCCCATGGCACCCCCACACACACAGCATCACTCACACCACCCCACACACAGTCACACTCACACCATCACACATCACACACACATGGCACCACACACACATTCACACTCATGGCACAACACACACAGCATCATGCACACACCACCACACACTCACACATTCACACTCAGCATCACACATTCACACTCCCATGGCACCATACACACACAGCATCATACACTCACACCATCCCACACACATTCACTCAGCACAACACACACACACACCATCACACACTCACACATTCACACTCATGGCACCATACACTCACAGTCACCATCACACACACTCATGGCACCACACACATTCACACACATAGCACCACACACACCACACACTTAACCCATCACACAGCATCACACACACACAGCACCACACCATCACACATTCACACTCACACCATCACACATTCACACTCATGGCACCACACACATTCACAGCATCACACACTCACAGATTCACACTCATGGCATCACACACATTCACACTCATGGTATCACATGCTCACACACCACCACACACACACCACACACTGCATACACACTCACACCATCACACACTCACACATTCACACTCATGACACCACACACACATCATCACACATTCACACAGCACCACACACACATTCAAACCATCACACACACAGATTAACATGGCACCACATGCTCACACACACCATCACACACACACACCACACACAGCATCACACACACATTCACACTCATACCACCATGCACACATTCACAGTACTACACACAGACGCCATCACACACTCACACATTCACATGGCACCACACACACACCCCATCACACGTTCACACTCATGACACCACACACACACTAGTTCAGACTCACACCATCACACCCTCCCACATCCACGCTTACAGCACCACACACACACTCACACAGCACCACACACACACCATCACACACACACTCACAGCACCACACACACACACACCATCACACATTCACGCTCACACCACACACATTCAGACTCACCACCACGCCCTCCCACATTCACACTCACAGCACCACACACACACTTACAGCATTGCACACATTCACACACTCATGGCACCACACACACTCACACCATCACACACACAGCATCACACATTAGCACACTCACACCATCACACACTCACACATTCACACTCACAGTCCCTGCTAAAACTGCCTTAAGGCCCAGGGTCACTCCAGCCAGGCCCCGGCTCTTCTGGAGGATGGCAGGCCCCGAGGCAGGAGCTGAGACAGAGGCTGGAATGCCCCCTTCCTGAGGCTCTGAAAGCCCTGCAGTGGCCCTCGGTGCCCGCACTGCTCCTCCCTGGTGACTTCACCCAGGCCATGAGAAGGTGGGGTCCATTTCTGTGCCCTCGGGTACGACCTCCTTCAAGAGAAGGTGGGGTTCTATTCCCGTGCCCTTGGCCATGACCTCCTTCACCTCCCTGGGCACCAGCTTCCTCACATGTGAGGAAGAGATAATGGCCTTGCCAAGGAAAGCAGCCAGTGGCTCAAAAGAGGGACGGGGATGCCCCAGGACAGGGCCGGCCCAGCACATGCCCCAAGCCCAGAGGAGGCCAAAGGGAGGGAAACCTCACCGCTGTGCCCTGACCTTACCAGGTTCTGTATTTACAACCAACCTGTGTCCAAAACATGAACCAGAGGGCAGGTCAGAGCTAGTCCAAGACCTCAGCCACAGCCTGCCCTTCAGGCATCTCACCAGGTGGACAGGCAGAGGCAGAGGACATTTTTGCACCTCAAAGCACTGCCCCAGGCCACGAAGAGGGAACTCAGTGGCCCGGGAAGCAAGGCAGGGCAAGCAAGCACCACACTGGCCTGGGGAGGAGATGAAGCCTTTAGCCCCAAGAGTGAATTCTTCTTCATACATACAGCTGTTTAAATTTGGGAGGACTCTGTGGGCAGCCCCAGGAGGATCTTTGAGGTTCTGTGTCATCAAGAACTTCCTGAGCTCAGCTTGTCCAAAGGCATTGGGCTGCAGGGGAGGGAGTGAGCTCACCCCAGGAACAATTCCACAGAAACCCATGTCCCTTAGGGTGCTACAGGGGCCAACATCAAACCTCCTCCATTTCCGAGATTATATATGGGAGGAGAGGCCAGGGTGGGAGGAAGGGGGTCCCAGGGTCTAGAAAGCGTCCCCAGGGGGTGGGTACGAGGGGGGGAGGTAGGGGGCCCCAGGGTCTAGAAAGTGTCCCCAGGGGGTGGGTACGAGGTGGGGAGGTAGGGGGCCCCAGGGTCTAGAAATTGTCTCCAGGGGGTGGGTACGGGGTGGGGGGAGGAAGGGGAACCCAAGTTCTAGAAGGTGTCCCCAGGGGTTGGGGATGGGGG